GTGACAGGGAACGAAGGGAGCTAAAATCATCCAGAAATAAGGGGAATAACCCCAGGGTTAGTGGATGACTGAAACGTTGGGGAAAAGGCACGTCACAAAACTATATGTACGGAGACAGATGGTCCCATTTTCACACATAGAGTCTACAATAAAAATGTATTTTTTCTCTGATAAGAAATTATTGTAAAAATTATAGGGCTATCGCAAATACTCTTTGTAAAGAGCCAGATATAGATGAGTATATACATACACCCACACATATTCAAATATACGTATATATGTGTATATACGTAATAAGATTCTTTGATACAAATTTTCTAGTTGAGTTACATGCTTCAGAATAAAGATGTTAAAAATAGTAAAAACTTTTACAAATAATAAACAGCTCTAATGAGTGAATATTCTATTTAAAATTATGAAGCTTGAGACTGTTGTTCTATTTTAATTAAGTAGCAATAATGTATACAATAGCTACTTCAAATTCAAATTATTTTACTGAGTTCTGTTATTAAAAAACCAGAATTATAAATCTTATTAGTGAGTAAACAGTGTTACATCTAAGTATCTCTCCTATTATGAACATAATATCTTTGAAATAGAAAATTAAGAAAACATTTCATTTTTCCAGTTTCTGGAGTTCAATCCTTTGTGGGAGGTGGGGAGAAAGGGGAGAAAGAAAAAAAAGAAACAGGAAAAGTATGTTTTCAGAAGGTTTTGATCCATCTCTCTGAGTAAGCCAAATTCCTTTGGTCTTTTAAAGCTTTAAATTTTGCCTAATCCCAACGTCCTGTGTTTTCTCCTTTCAACAGTGGGTCTTGGCCTACCCTCAGAAACCCCTAAAAGCAAGAAACGATTCCACATGGAGCATGGTAACCTGATACCAAGTCATAAGTCTAAGTAAAATTTAGTGTTTGTATTCATTCTCCGAAACAAGCAGGATAGGATTTACCCAGTGAACTTTTATCATTCTGTCCTCTTACAAGCTATAATTTGCAAAGCAGTAGGAAGAGTCTACATGTTAGATGCAACATGTGCTCATCCTACGGAAAAATTCCTTGTCTATCCTCATAACCATAAGCACTTGTATTTAACTTTCAGATGCAATGCATTTCTTCTGTTTATCACGATATTCTGATAAGGTTGGTACTATTACTAGCTTCTTTAAATGGGAGATATTAAAGCCCAAAGTCCCAAGTAACAAAGTCCAATTTACAACCCAGTCCCTTGAACAGGCCCTTGACAATGCTATGCCCCTCCCTCGAGACACAAATCGGGTTCTACCTGTCCAGCCCTTGCCCCTCATTCATGTACAGAGGTACAGGGCAGACTGCAAAGAGCACCGAATTTGGGCTCAGAAGCCCTCATTTAAAAGTACTACCTCCCCTCCTTATTAGCTATGTACCTCTGAACAAATTACTTCATTTCTATTCATCTCAGCTACCTTGCATGTAAAGCCGGGATAACATTTGTTCTGCCTATTTCAGAATTCTTTGGAAGAACTCCTAAGAGAATATATGTGGAAGCTCACAGTAAACTATTAAGAGCCACATAAACGTCATGTATTATTCAAGGTCCAGCTTGATTTCTACTTTATCCAGGGAAACTTCCAGCCTTTCAATTCAGCCCACACTGAACTCTCCCCTGGCATTTCCTGCTACACTATTTACCTCAGCATTTGATATATTTGCTGTTGTATTGTTACTTACATATTTCCAAGTCAAGAACAGCTTCCCTCCACAGAGCCTAGCACAGGGCTGTAAGGACAGCAGTACTCTATATTATCAATGTCATAAATGAACTGGTGGAACTGAGAGTAGAATCTTACCCTCCTGGTGCCACAGTGCTCATTTCTACAAGAAATTTTGGAAGAAGCTTCCCTATGGTATATAGTTATAGTCACACTCTATCTAATAAGGGCTCTCCTTACCAAAAGGCAGAGTTTTCTCTTTAAAAGAAGAGGGTATACCATATAAACTTCTTGAAGAGACCAGAAGTATGGCCCAATCACGGATAAGATACCAGAGTTACCTCTAGCTGGGGGAATCCTGTCAAGAGTCCCCCAAGAGGGAACATTCCAACCCCTCCCCGCATCCTTTCCTTGGATTAAGGAGGCCTCACAGGGAAAAAAACTCTTGCTGTACATATTTGCAAATTAAGCAGCACTTCTTTGATGCCTGTAGAAAATCAGGCATCCTAAAGGTCTTTAATTTCTCCTGGAGAAGATACACTCTAAATACACAGAACATTTTCCCCAGGGCTCTTGGTAACTTTCTCACAAAAACCTAGCTGCTAGTAGTGCTTTACCTGATCTTTGTAAACCAGTGTGCTGGGGCTTGACCGCGGTTTGTCTTTAAATGAGTAAGTGGCCACTTGCTTCTTCAACAAGTCCAGGAAGTCAGGAGGCATGTACTGGGGAAGGTCATTTAAGACTGGATTGTTTCTTTGCACAAGAGGTGGTTTTTTTCTTCCTTCATTTTTAAAATTGTAGGTTGCTGCCACTGGATTTGATAGGGAGTCTTCAATAAAAGTTTTCAAGTGGTAAGTGCCAGGGATAGGAGTATTCTGTGGAAAATCGACATCATTTTTCAGATCAGTGTGTAAACTGTTAATATCTTCTAAAGCAGCATTCTTGGAAGGATCACACCTGTTTGTTTTAAAGTTTAATAAAATTCTATCAAATATAGTAAACACTCTGGACACAACAGTATTTCAAGACAATCATGATTATTTCCTTTCTGAAACAATTGCTGAATTATAGTAAATGGGTTATGACCATAGTTGAAGTTTTAACTTCTTAAAAAGTTAAAGATCAAAGATACTTAAACTTGAGATTCAATTTGACTATATATCTCAAGCCTCTAGTGAGACCATTCAGGATGTTTCTCGACTAAATAAAAGTTATCCTACTTCTGCTTAGTAGACGCTACATGTTTCTGTCTAGCCCTCAAGTGGGAAGCTACAGGATAGTAACGTGAGACTGAGGATGAACTGGCAGAACATATGATCTAATTAGTCCAATAAGGGGTGGGGTACTTTCCAATCCCAACCACAATGTGGCTGAATGGCCAGAACTGTAAGTTTAGTCACTGCTGCTTTTGTGGCCATCTTTCCACTGAGTGATCATCTCAGTTCTACCATTAAAATGAGTTCAAATCCAAGAAGGCTTTGGCCTATGGGGACCCTCTGTTATTGAAGGATGAGGATAGAAAAATATTTCTGCAATATAGAGGGAATCTCCTGGTCATTTTACTTTCATATATCACCACCTTGAATTTTATACACTAACCATGTTAATTAACAAAAGTAATCATAGGCTCTAGCTATGCCATCTAAGATAAAAATGGAAAACCAAAAACCTCTCCAGAATGTATGCTGTTTCTTCCTTGTGTAATCTCACCAAGGTCATAAACTAGGTTGATCTTATTTAGATATTCTGTAAAGCAACTAGATTTCTAGAGTTGTTTTACTTTTCTAAGCTTTTATTTTTAAATTCAGAACTTAGTTTTCTCATTTATATGCTAATACTAAAGTTATAATTGTGAAATACAGCCCACTGTTTTCTTACAATTAAGTGTTAGTGACTTAAAAGGCAAGATTGATTAAAACATTAATGGGTCAACAATCATTTGAATAAATTATTCAAATGAAAATGAAAATGTACATACTGTTAATGCTATTCTCCACCATCCTTCTCTTTCAAAAGATGATGTCTTCCGGATTGGCTTCTATTAAAAAACATAAAATGTGCTTATTCATTTGACAGGTGATCTCTGTAAGTTAAATATAATTTATAAAATATTTACTTGATGAAATGAATACTTGCACCAAATTGGTCAGCCTGAATTAAAATACAAGCTACATAATAAATTTTGCCTGTAATATTTCTTAAATTGCTATTTTGTGATTTAAAGTGCTTTTTAAATATCTAAATTCCTTTTGAAAAAATTAGAGCAATAAACATCCCCATCGCACAGAGATTTCATAAAGATAATTAGATGTGACAAATTTTGGTGTTCTTGGGAAGAAGAGTCTTGTAAATCCAAAATTGTATTATTATAATTGTTATTAAGATTTATGGCTCGATCCTTTTGTCTCCTTTAGTGGGTGAAGAGAGCTCATTCTCAGATGAGGATGAACTGGGAGAGATGGCAGATTTTGGTGTTGTGGGCTATACAGATATTATGTCTTTAGATGTTGCTTTAGAAAACCTAAATATAAAAGAGAGTAATAAAGATGACATTCCCAATTGTAGACAATGTCTTCTGTGCTGTATTTGTTGAAGGAAGTGGACAACTATCTTGGGTTTGGTGATTGTAATTTCAGCTGTCACTCTTGTCACATTGTGAACATTCAAAAGGAAGAGGGAAAATCCAAATGATAATCACTTCCACTTAACTAATTTTTACTCTTAGCAGGTGAATGTAGGGAGCAGTGCAGGGGTGATCTCTGCTTCCTGCACCTTGAGTCAGAATGATAGAGTAGCCAGACTTGAGCTTGATTCCAGCTCTGCCACTTACTAATTAAGAGCACTAGGCAAATTACTTACCCCTTATTAGACCCAGCTTCCTCTTGGGATTATAAAAAGAAGGCATACCAGGGTTGGCATGAGAATGAGGCATTGTACATATAAACACTTGAGACCACAACCAGTCCTTAATAATAAAGGGCAGTTTTTATTTTTAACATCTCGTCTGCCAAGTTAAGAAGCAGAATATTTTGGAATTCTTCAGTTTCCAAGGATGCTCCTGTCTTCCATAATACGTTCCCCATACTCATTTATTATTATTCCACATTTATTTCAGCCTCAAACTGTCAACAGAACAGTTGTTCGGTTTTCCCCTTTTGTGCTATTCCCACTAGGTAAAGTCATTAAAATATTGACTTCTACTTTCATTTATATAATGCTTTTGTTATTAGTATGAAACTGCATAAAGCAACAGTGCATTAAAAAATAATAATCTAATCAGCAAACTGATATAATTCATTATTATGGTCTAGCAATTTACATCCACTCTACTTACGAGTACCTCTGGCTTTAGTTTTACATGAAATATGTTCATTTCTCTAAAAAACATTTTTTTCATATATATTGTTTGAATTTCTTCCTGTACATTCCCTTTATTAGATTTATATTGAATATTCTCTGTGGCACATTCATAGTCACAGAAATCTAACTTTCTCAGGCAGGTCAGGACAGGTCTCCCACCTCTACCTGGGCCAGGAAAATGTGGTGGGAAGGAGAAGGGAGGAGTAAACATGATACATCTAAAAGAAGGTTAATAGGCAGCTGCTGTTTTGTTTTGCCCAAGGCAGGTGATCTAAACTCCACCCCTCTACCACTTCAAATTCACTTCAGGGGTGAATCACTTTACAAAAGATAGGCTAAATTTAAAAACTAAACAAAGATAGTTTAAAATATTTTATAAATTCTAAACTAAGAAGCGGGCCAAAAAACAAAAACAAAAACAAAAAAACCCATGTCTGATCACTAATGAAGGAAAAACCCATTATCTCGACAGGCGGGAAAATGAAAGGAAACTAATCACCCTATTAAAACAGTTGTCCAGAACAATTAGTAGTAGGAAAGGGGAACAGGAAGAACAAGTGAGTAGTAGCAAGGGAAGAGAAAATAAATGAAGTAGAGCTCGAATAAAGATCAGAAGAAAGGACTACAGGTGGCGAGGACAGAGAGAGAAAGGTAGAAAGAGAGAGCCGGAGGGGCACAAGGGCTGGGGATTAGAAAAAGGTGGAATTTTTGGCGGAGGAGCCTGGCGAGGGGAACGGTAGTTAAGGGCTCCGGGGGAGGACGGTGGTACAGAGGCCATGACCACTGAACCACCATGCCCCACATCTTCCCTTACTGTGGTGGTGATGGAGATTACGGGCTGGTCCATTGCGGCAACCTCGCTCCCTAGGCCGAGGCTGGTGTCCTGGTCACCAGGAGGTGCCTCGGCCCGCCGGCTCAGCGGCTCCTGAGCGTGTGCCGGGGACCCGCCCAGTGTCTCCAGTGGTGGGGGAAGGGAAGCGGGCGCACACTTTGAAGCCTCGCGTTTACCCTCGCGCAGAGAAATTCGTTCAGATGGTCACGCAGGTCAGGCACACGTGTGGAGTCACCAGAAAGTCCTCAGCTAAGTACCCGCACCAAGGGAGGCTTTTAAAAGCAGTTTGTAAGGTCTTGACAGAACCATAATCTTCATCAGCCCTTCCCAAATCACCACCAATCCCACACCCCCAAGGAAGGGGGACAGTATGCTTGGTAGGCACATTGTTTTTAGTAAAAATCAGCCTTAGGCCCCACTTTCTAAGATTGTTTCTGAGCTCCTCCAGATGGAAATTCTATAGGTGTCACTTCTCTTGACTGATTTGAGAAGTGGGGTGAGCACTAAATCAACAGGCTTCACTGTGAAACCAGACCACCCTTTCCTATCTGTATAGACCTTTTCACCATTCAACCTCTCATGGCTGTAGCATCTCAACCTATTAAAATTCTCATCATTAAAAACAAACCCTCTTCTAAACCTTAATTCCATTTTATAGAGTACTTGCTGTTCCAGATATTTTACATGCATTAATTTATCCTTCCCAACCCTGTGAAGTAGGTTTAATCCCATTTTGTGGATGAAGAGGCTTCCTTGGACACTTTAGCCGTTGACAGTATCATACAGCAGTGGCAGAGGTAGACTTCAAATCCAGGTCTGACTCCAGCACTCCAATGTCCCAACCACCATGAAGTTTCTGCTTTCACCAACTTTCAAGAGTAGTGTGCCGTGAATGCACCCGACCTAATCTCGGAAGCTTAAGCAGGGTTGGGCCTGGTTAGTACTAGGATGGGAGATCGCCTTGGAATACCAGGCCCTGTAGGTATTAAAAAAATAAATAGAAATGACCGAGTTTATATGAATTAAAAAAAAGAAAAAAAAAAAGGTAGCGTGGACTCAGTCCTTCCCTGGCCTCACATTTTTTCGTAGAACCATCTTGACAAGTACACACACCTTTCCACTAACATTGCACTTGCTATTAGCCAGTGATCCAATTGCCAAATACAGTGGGGATTTATCAGTTCTTAACAAATGACCTTCATTTGTCAATGTGGCATTGATCACTCCTTTATTCTTGAATCTCTTGCCTTCCTTGACTACCAAGATTTGAATTTTGGCTGTTTGGTATGATTTATTGTGCTGCTTTGTCTAAAAGGTGACCATAAATTGGTACTTACCCACAGGTGGCAATTTTTGAGATTAACTGGAGTGAAATGTTTGGAACTATGTCTGGCACAATATATTCAGTATACATGGACTATCACTGCCTTTAGGACGAAAGCAAAATTCACAATCCAACCCACTCTCCTTTCCCTCATGCTCCGATGTATTGGAATTAACCTTTGAATTATGGCAAGGTTAGGGGTGCCAACACCCAAGCTGTCGAAAATTCGTAACTTTTGACTCCCCAAAACCTTAAATAGTCCCTAGGTATCCATAAGATACTGGTTCTACGACCTCACGCAAATACCAAGATCCTCAAGTGTTTAAGTCTTATATAAAATAGCTTAGACCAATGCATATAATCGGCCCTCTGTGAGTGAGAAACCCAGGAATATGGAAAGCCAACTATATTTTTTAAAAAATATAGTAAGTAGACCCATGCAGTTCAAACCCATTGTTCAAGGGTCAATTGTACTTGCAAACTCCAAACATGCCATCTACACACTTCCAAGGTCTCCCCACACACTAGCCTTTGACAGCCTGGTAAACCTATAGGGTCAACTCCAAGAAATCCTCCTAGGCATAATCCCTCATAGCCCAGAGGACCCTGTGCCTATCTGTTGGAGAACTCATTTTGATAAATCATTCCTAATTTTAAACATATCCAGAACAAGTATTTGTCTTAATTCTGAGCCTTTTAAACACAATTAAAATATTTGTTGAATAAATGAATGACCAGTTTTCCTCTCTATAAATAAAATCAGAGGATGGGCTACTACAGCAGTGCCTCTCAAAAATTAATGTGCATAGAAAACATCTGGAGATTTTGTTAAAATACGGATTCTGATTCAGATTCTGGGCAGGGCCTAAGATTTTGCATTTCCAACAAGCTCTCGGATGATTCTGTGGGCAACTTTTTGAGCAAGAGACTAGAGAATTCCATTTAATTTCTCAAAATACTGGGATTATTCTAAATTCGTTTAACACTGCCTTAAAAAAAAAAAATAGGCACCAGGTTTGAATCAAGAACTGAAATTATAAGGCCAAGAGGCACTGTATCTCATTTCATTTTCTTATTTTGGCTGAGCCTGTGAACTGGCTCAGCAGACTAGGGACTGGTACCCAAGAGACTAAAGAGTGTGATGAAAGGTACAGAGAAGTCCAGAAACCCATACAAGGTGTGAAACAGAAGGGAAGGGAACATCTAGATGAGAAAATAGATTGAGTATCTCAAAAATAGAAACAGCATGGGTCAATGATTTCAAGGACTTTACCAATAAAACAGAATAAGCATGTAGGATAAACAAAATGTCCTCCTAAGAAAACACTGTCTTAAACAGTAGTACTGAGAAAAATTAAAATTTTTTCAGGTTATCAGTAATAGCAGTTTAAAAGGTGGGGAAGGCATTTCTCTTTAAGAATACTAAAAATTTAAGAATACACTAAGTAGAGCTCAACAGTGCCTATGCTATGCATCGGCTCTTTAATAAAAATTACATCCTAGAATCATTAACTGAATACAGTTTTTGTTACAATTATTTGAGAGCAAACATATAGTATTGATAAAAGAATTATCAATAACCACAATCCTAATATAAAAAAAGTAACATGGTTAAAATTTGAAGATAAGGTTTTAAAATTTAGTCCTGGGTTTGAAGATTATGTTGCATAAGCAGTAGAACTGAGATTTGAACCTAGCTCAGTATGTGCTCAGTTACCAAATAAAACTGTTTATACTTCAATTTCCTATAAAAACATAATGCTTGCTTACTGTCTCTTTTGTAAAATTATAAGAAAATCAGCCATTAATATGACACACGAAGAGTATCCCCAAAACGTGTTTCTCCTTCCACCATAACAAACTTCAAACTGGGAAAACACCGAGATTAACTTTGCTCAATCCCATTTTACAAGGTCATACTGGTTTAACAGGGTAACATCAATCGAACACTTATTGCAAATACCAAGGACTACGCTAAGTGCTTTACCTTTTATTATTGTAAAGCCAAGTTAGAAACCAGTTGGGTAAATACTACCCAATTTTACAGGTATAACAGGCTTGGATGAGCTCTTCAAGCTTATACACACCAATAATCTAAAATACCGCAATAAAATGCCAAAGGCCATGTGCCTCAGCCAGACACATGAATCTTCCACCAAATACCTCATTTGGCCTTCTTTTGCCTAAACTCTTACATCTAATGAAGGTCCATTTAATTGATTTGCCTGTGTAAAATATTGTTAGATTTTCGATGCCTGTAACTTCCCTTATCCTATCTAAAACATACTTATCACTCTTCCTTTACTAACCATCCAGGTTTTCTATTTTCTAGTAGACTAACAGTGGTATAAAATTAGTCAAAAACAGGCAATAACCTGCCAAATTACTCTCTGAAAATTAAAACCTTGTGGCTATAATAATCAGGTAACAATTATACTTAATGTTTTAATCTTGGCTATAGTTTGCTATGAAATTTCTCATTATTTAAAAAAACAACAACAGAAACTCTGACAACCACCTTTTGAGTGTTTTAAATAATAGAAAAAGCACTAGTTTAGAAGCAAGCAAAAACTAAAAGTTTTAGTGCCATTCCACTCCTAAAGATACTTTTTTTGGTAAAATGTATTGCAGACAAGCAAGCACAACTGAAAATTCTCTGCCTTGTGGTAGAATTAAAAAGCACTATGAGTAAAAACATTAATAGAGGTAAAAACAAAATAAGCTTCCCTCCCTAGATTTAGATTGTTGTTTTCTCAATACAAACATTTAGAAAAATAATTGCATGGCTGAAGTCAATACTGACAAACAGATGCCATAGTTGAAAAAGATATTTAAAAGGTACGAAGCACTAAAACACCTACCGTGTGCCAGTCTATTCTAGGTACAACTTAACAAAAGGTTTTTATCTTTCACTTAAACCTTCTGAAGAAAGTATAATTTAAAAACTAAACAAAATCTTGATGAGTCAAAAAAAGACTTATCTAAATTATACCAAGTAGAAACCACCTCCACATCTGATTCTCAAAATTATTTGACCTCAAGTTAATTAAATGACTCAGATTCAGAGCAACAGTTGGGTAAAATTGGGTAAAATTTTTTTTTATTGGAAAACAAATATACAACTTGGAATGGATTTGAGGCAAATTGTGCCATAAGCAGATTTTCTTTAAGTGGCTAAACAAAGTTTAAAAAGCAAGTAACAATAAAAGAAAATGTTTCTGGTACAGGACCAGTAGTACAAAAAAATAGTGTACGAGTACCTGGATAATACACCCGTTTTGCAATAGTGCAACTTTTAAGTACATATTGTCGACTGTCCATAGTCCACGCAGAGTTACAACTCCACACTTCACAACAACATGCTGACAGTTCCTAAAGAAAACTACTTAAAAAAAAGGCATAACCCAGATGATGTTCCCTCATTTGACCAACTCCTTCTAAGTTTAGATGTGCAGAAGGGCTTAGATATATCCAGAGTAAGCCACATGCAACATGTTACTTGATCAATTTTCTAAAATAAGGTTTCAGGACAATGACAATTAAGGGAAGAAAACATGGAGGAATGAAGTCCTAATTACTATACATGCATATTTTTTTTGACAGTAGGGGGAAACCTTTTACAGATAAGTTACAAACAAAAGGCAAATAAACAATTTTGTACAAGAAATTTAACACATTCTGTACAATGTCTTCACTTTGCTGTCATCATTTGTACAAACTCTGAAAAAGAAGAAGTACACAAAATGTTGAGTCAACGGCAAAGGACTGACAAAACCAATCACATTTACTCACTGAGCAATCTCTATTCCCCTTTTTTTCTCAAAATTTTTATAAAGTGCAGAGGAAAATTCTAATTTACTGCCAAAGCTGGAACAACTTCATAAACCAAAATTAACAAACTCAATTAATGCTTTAAGTAGCTATCATAAAAAGCATTCTTGCTGAGTTTTGTTTTACAAATGACACTTGAACTTGAAGCATATATAGTTTCAGACTAAAATTGATAGAAGAGAATCCAATAAAGAAAATGAATTTTCTTAAATTAATTTTATTTTGAAGATCTTGAAATAAAAATTTGAAGCTTTTTAAATTGTTCCACAAACGTTATATAAAAATTGTTTCCTCATAGTTGAATACAGTGTTTCTTCTCAAACTTTAACGTGCTTATGAAATCACCCACCAGGAATCCTGTTAAAATGCAGATCTTGGGTATAAGGGTAGAACCTGATAAAAAGTTCTCAAGTGACAACGATGTTGCCTAGTTTGTACACAATATTCTGAATAAGAAAAGGTTAGTAAATATAAATAATTGTTTTATTAGCATCTTCGTGAGTTTTATTCAAAACTAATTTTGACCTATCAGATACCTAACAAGTACCTCGTCACAGCACAGAATGAGGTGATGAAAGGCTTACCTTCATAGTTTACTTGACCATCACCATCAATATCTGCTTCCCTGATCATCTCATCAACCTCTTCATCTGTTAACTTCTCTCCAAGGTTTGTCATCACATGGCGAAGCTCTGCTGCACTAATATATCCATTGCCATCCTAGAATAAAAGTCAGTAAAACGTGTAAGTGAAAATCAAAGAGTTGAAATGGAAGTTTAATAAGTTTCCTAAATTTCACATTAGAAAAATATACTTTAGAAATCCATACAAACTAAAGAGAATATACAAAAAATTAACCTATAAATTAAACATCACTGAGTCGAGCAGTATATCCTATATTGAAATCATTATTTCTTAGTTCTGAAGTCAAGTGATATCTCTTTTGCCATGAGATTAATGCAATACATGTTACTAGAAAATCTAAGCTTATACTGAATTAAAATTTTTTGCTTGATATTGAAATATGTTGATAAATCATTAGAAAAACAAGTCTGCAAAGAATAAGAGGTTCTGATATTTTTATTTCATCTTCAAATTAAAATTTAACAAATTCAGTCCTTGAAAACCTACCTTGTCAAACACACGGAATGCTTCTCTAATTTCTTCTTCACTGTCTGTGTCTTTCATTTTTCTTGCCATCATTGTCAGAAATTCTGGGAAGTCAATTGTGCCGTTACCTGAAATGGTTTAATTGAAACATTACAACAGAATTTAAATGCCACTTCTTCAACTTCCCCCTCCTCAAACCCCAAAATTAAAAAGACTTACCATCAGCATCCACTTCATTAATCATGTCCTGTAACTCTGCTTCTGTGGGATTCTGCCCAAGAGATCTCATTACAGTTCCCAATTCCTTTGTTGTTATAGTTCCATCACCATCCTTGTCAAATAGTGAAAAAGCTTCTTTGAATTCTGTTTAAAAGACCAGAATCCAAATGTACAGATTAACAATAAAATTGTTAACATCCAAAATGAACCATATTAATCAACTTTTAAAGATATATATGAAGACAGCACCTGAAATAGGATTTTGATTCCTAAAAAGATTAGGTGAGAAAGCCTTGTGGTATTTCAAATATCTTCAAGCTAATCATCATACAGCATAACGATTATACGGATATACTAGGGAGTTTTTTCATCGAAAATCTTACAGGGAACTCCAATGTCTAGACCAGATAAAAGTCAAATTATTCTAGATTTCAAGAAGCAAAGAATCGAAGCCCCAAAAGACTTGGCTTCTCATCTTCTATTAAAGCTGTTACGTGGAACACAATTCAAAATTATAGATCTAACCTACTTGGAATAGAAAAATAAGACCATTAGTTCCAAATACATATTTCTATAGAACTACCATACTTATTTGCATCATGTTTAGAGTACTCCTTGAAAATTAAAATTAAGTCTATTTCATCATCTCCTAAATTAAAAATAAAAAACTTTAAACTTCAGAACAATATGCAATAGGTTGGTTTCCTTTTCTGGAAGACAGGAGACTATCACAAAATAATCTATAATGTTAATGAAATGATCTAGATATAAATGGCCAGTTTTAGCTGTATTATTGAGAACAAAGATAATTTAGACCTTTCTTTAGATAAGAAAATCCCAAACTTGTGAGAGTAAAATGTAATGTTGCCTAAGATCTTTAAAATCTTATGAAATTAAGTTGCTTTTATTTCACTAGATTATATGGAAAGCTGTTGGAGCAACAGTCCACAATACCTGGGCTTTGCCGTTTTATTTTACAGACAAGAGAAAAAAGCAGAGATTAAATTTGGCAGCTCAAGATCATACGAATGAGCTACTAACAAACCTAGTACTTTCTGAGTAAGATACTTTCTATGTTAGACCCAATCAGCTAGCAAATATAAAACCAGTTCCAAAGTCCATGGAGCTATAAGCTCCCTTAACGTATCTAAAACATTTGAAAATATATACCTGACACATGTTTAAGAAACGGTGTGCCTCATCTTACAGGCCAAGTCTATTTATTCCCTGCCTGTTTATCCCCCATTCCAATTGATATACCTCTCCCAGTTTCATTTCATCATCATCTTTTCTCTGGACTTAACCACTCTTCTACTGACTATTCCATTAAAATTTAATTATCTTCATGTCTCTTAGCCTAAAACTAAATTTAAACCTTCATTATATTTTCTTTTAAGTGCCGGTCTTTATCTCTTCCAAAGTTCTGGAAGGCACCACAACCCATATCCACTTAACAATCCACTGTTAAAACTGCCTCCAGCTCCAACGCACCAGCTAAAATCACCACGTTCACCAGTAATGATCTAGGTGCCCAATCCAGCAAGTATGTTTCAGTTATGTGAGACCATACCACATAGAAACTAAAATCACTTTGGAACTCAACTGTCTGGGTTAAAAATCCCAGCTCTGTCACTTACTAGTAATGTAACTTTGGGCAAATTAAGTTACTAAACCCTTTTTTCTGCCTCAGCTTCCTCATTTTTGTTAAATGGGGCTAAAGGTACTGACTTCCTAATTTAAAGAATTTAACCACTATGTGTAAAGCACTTACAGCCATGTCTGGCAAGTACGTACTTAATGTTAAGAAAAAAATGATCTCATTTTCCTGCAGTAGCCACAAACTACACTAAAAAACACTCATTCCCTTGGCTTCCACAGCAGTTACTTTAATAGATGTCCTACCTTATGATGCTAAAGGCTCTTCTACTTGTCTCTTACAAGTAGATGTGACCAACTTTCTCCTCTCCTCAGCCACTTCATCTATGTCCATTTATAATGAAGATTTCACAACTTCAGTATACTCATCTCTCAATAATAAATAATACCTTTCTTTCTGACTTCCTACAGGACATCTCCCCTGGATGACCTCAAGCAAGACTTATGAAAATGAACTCTATACTTACTCCCCTGGCTACCCTAGGAACACAAGCAAAAGCCATTTAAACTCTTCCCCCTGAAATCTGTCAAGTCCTGTTCAACTCTGCTATTTAAATACTGCCTGATTATTTTTTTTTTTATCACTACAACCAACAATTTGGTTCATGGCCCCATCACCTTCTGCCTGGACAACTACAATAGCCTCCTGAGTTCTTTATGTAAAATTATCCACAACAACTTGGGTCCTATTTACCTTTTTGGATCACTAATGTCACTTTCTTCTACTTAAAATCTTTGAATTACTTAGCTGTAGATTAGATATCACTGACTAGTTGTAGTTTGCTGCATTCAGTGGTAACACAGTTCCATTCTACTTAAATATTTCTTGTTTTCACAAGAACTTACCTGATACCAGAAGCTTAATACCAAATTTACTCACTGATTATATGAAAAATCACCAACAGTATACAGTACTAACCTAGATCAACCCAATGACAAAAATAGATCAATAAATCCCACAAATATAAGAATTTGATGAAGACATTATCTTAGGTTGTTTTTTTTTTTTTTACCTCCCACAGGATGTAGAAATGTTTAGAAATATATGAACCATTAAGATCTGAACACATAGCATCTCTGACCTAATAACTTAAGCTACAAGAAAA